ATGGAAAATGATGCATTGAGAGGACAAAGACAAAGACCAAGGCTAGGTCTAAGGTTAATATTAGGGACAATAACACCTAAGATTCCCATATAAAAGAAATTAACACTTAATGTTGAATACATTCTGAACTTATTTTGAAGGCACAAAAGTCTTGCATATAAATATATTTTATAATAAAAATAATCATTTTCTCCATGTTTGAGAAAATAATATTGTATACAAGATATCATGTTGTTAACGTGAGAACTTTATCATATTATATATAAATAATTTGTTATTTATATACTTAAAAAATTTATATATTATTATTCAATTAACCACACAAATTATATATAATGAATGAACATTATGTTATTAATATATATGAATATTTTATTTTTCATATATCTGAGCTTGTACATTATTGTTTAATTAAATCACATAAACTATATATATAATAAATGAATATTGTATTATTAATATATGAATCCTGTCATATTATGTACGGGTATCATATTGTACATACACATGCACATGAAACTTCTTGTATATTTTCAAATGATGGGCAAATGAGTCTTTCTACTAACAAATATATATATATATATATATATATATTTGCACGCAAAGCCTTTGGACCTACATAATCAATTGAAAATTTATTCGACCTTGGTTAACAATTTCTTTGAATTTTTTTTTGGGGGGTACTAAGGCACCATTCTCACAGAGTATTACGTGGGAAATTCACTATATGCGTAGATAATATTCAGATGTCACGATTTTTTTCACAAAGAAAAAGGAAAAGAAAGCAATTAATTCCTTTAAAATTCACTGATAAATATAACGTATTGATCACTGCTTGGGAGAAAAATTATTAGCTGTAGATTGCACCTTCCATCTTTTCCCATATTAATTTGATGAATTAAAGTTAAGATAATCAGACAACTGTACGGAATGTTCCAGATGATTATATTGTTTATAATTTATAATAAAATTTTTTATACAAACTCACGGTAAATTTTGCATTGCAACATGTCGATGATATTGATGGATTGACATATTTTGGCCCTTTGATGAAAATGGCCCTGTCCCATTTTACCTATTTATAAGATATATTTTAAAAAATTTATTTAATTTTATTTATAAGTCACAATGAAATTTTTAAATATTATTTAAAATATATTTTTAAAATTATTTTTTATAAGAGAAAAAAATAAAATTTTAATTTTTATATTTTTTATATAAAAATATATTTAAATTTTATATTTTTATATTTTATATTTTTTTATATTAATATTGATATTGTTAATAAAAATAATTTATAAAGAAGGATAGTAGAAGTATTGTGAAAATTAACACGAAGGTGACAGAGACAAATTATGGAGACAGTAGACTCAATGCTCATCACAACATGAAATGGCCAAATAATTGACCTTGCCAGCCTGGGAAAAATTCTGTTCACACTCTGACAGTGTAGCCGTAGGGTAGCAACGGAAAATGATGCAAAAATTCTACAAAATAGTCAAATGATAAGATTATATGAAAAAATAATAATAAAATTTTTTAAAATTATATAAACGATAACATGATCTCTTAAAATATTATAATTTTATTAAAATTTTTAAAATTTTTATATAAGTAAATTTTAAATTTAAAAAATAATTTTATCTTCATCAATAAGTTATAATTTTTTTAATTAATTTTGTAATTTTTTGAATAAAATTTATTAATTCTTAAATAAAAATTATGGCTGAGAATTTTTATTTTGAGAGAATTTATTTTTCAATAACAGAAATTACATTTAATAAATTTAATTTATTATTCTCTCTTATAATTTATAAAATAAAAATTATCATTCATCTAACATACTTGACAATCACTAATGAGAAGGATGCTCCATACTCAAATCTTGAAACCATGCCAACAGTAATTAAAAAAATATTATATTTGTTTTAATAAAATATTGATAAAATATTAAATATTTTAACATTTAATAATTTAAATATTATTATTTATAAATATTTATCCAAAATTTATGAATAGTCTTTAAATATTAACATCTTAATTAGTAGTTTTTTAAAAATTTATAGATGATTTATAAATTAAAATAATATGATAAATTATAAGTCTTTCTCTAAAATTAATGAGTTCCCCTTCAAAAATTTATATATCTTAATTAAAAGTTAACATGTAAATTGTATGTGAAGATTTGTAACTAATAATTGTATTTTTATTTTTATTACCAAATATTAAAGTATAAATATTACAATAAAATATTTTTAAATATTAATATTTTTAATTGATCATATGTGTTTTTGCTAGCAATGGTGATCTTACAATCACCTTGTAGATGATCAAAATAGTTGATTAAAATAATATTTTTGTCTTTTATATGGTTAAAAAAATAATATTAGTCTATTAGAATTTATTTTCAGGCCAAAAAAAGCTTATTGAAATTTATTTTAATTTAAAAAGCTTAATCAATATTTAATTATTTTTCCGTAATGTCCTTTTTCTGTAAATTTTTTGGCCTCTTTCGATAATTTTTGGTATCCTTCTTTGCATTGTTTTTTTGGGTTAGCTAATATTTAAATTAAATTAACAGATGGTATCACTCTGATGAGACTGAAGCTAGTTCTTGGGGGTGTTTGTATTTTCTTCGTATTATTATTATTATTTGTTTTTTGGGTTAGATAACATGTTGACAATGCAGGGTAGCAATGGAAAATGATGTATCATTGAGAGGACGTTCCTAGATAAATACGAAGACTATTGCATACTTAGTCTAAGGTTACTATTGGGGATGACACCTGAGGCCCCCATATAAAAAAAAAAAAAAAGCACCTAAGGTCCTCAATACATTTTGAATTTATTTTACAGACAAAAATGCCTTACATGCAAATATATTTGTTGGTGAAAAGACTTATCTGCCCCTTGTTTGAGGAAGAAACATCATGTGTATGACATTATATTATTAATGTATGCACCTTGTCATATTATATACATACATTCTATTGTTCTCATACAATTGAAAATTTATTCATTATTGTTTCATTAAACCACACAAATTATTTATAATGAATGACATTTTTTGTTGTTAATGTTTGGACCGTTGTCATGTTATAGGTGAACATTCAGTTGTTTATATATTTAAATTTATATATTATTGTTCAACTAAACCAAATAAATTATGTATAATAAATAAATATTATGTTGTTAATGTATAAACGTTATCATGTTTTATATGAACATTCTATTATCTATATTTGAGAAACTTGTACATTTTAAATAGTAGACAAAATGAGTTTTTTTTCGCCGGCAAACATATTGCATACGCTTTTGGACTTGCAAAATCAATTGAAAATATATTAGAATCTATGTGCAATTTTCTTTGATTTGGGAGACTTAGGTGCCAGTCTCCCATCATATTATGTGGGAAATGATCGACAAGCACAGATAATAATATTCAGGCACGACTTTTTCTTGCAAAGAAAAAGAAAGCAATTAATTCCTCCTAAGTTTAATTTACTTTAAAATTCATTGATATATATATATATATATATATATATATGTATATATATAACGTACGTAGTGAAGTTTACGCCAATTGATCATTGCTCTGGTGGAAAATTAGCTGGATTGCACCTTCCATCTTTTCCCATATTAACTTGATGAATTAAATTTAAGATGAATAATAAACATTTATATTGAATGTTTAAGATGATTATATTGTTTATAATTTTTAAATAATATTTTTTATATAGACTGACCGTGAATTGTACATCTTGATGGTATTGATTGATTGACATATTTGGCCTTTTGATGAAAATGGCCCCATCCAATTTATGCTGTACTGTGGAAATTAACACGAAGGTGACACTGACAAATTATGGAGACAATAGACTTAATACTCATCACAACTTGAGATGGCCAAATCGTCAATGACGTATTGATCTTGGCGGGCGGGGAAAAATCCCTGTTACACTCTGACAATGTAGCCATGTAGGGTAATGTAGCAATGGAAAATGTTGTCAAATTTCCCCCCAAAGATAGCCAAAATGACAAAATAATATCAAGAATGAGATACTTAATGACTTATTTGTCGTTTTTTTTTTAAATTACGCTTCTAACTTGTTTTTTTCAAATTAGTAGAAAGTCTAGTTGTTGTGAGAAGTGAAGTTAAAGTAGTTGTTAATAACAAATAAAAAATTGTTAATAAGGTAAATATAGTTAATAGTATATGATTAAATTAGATTATCACTATGTTGCTGAAATTATTAACATATAAAAGGCACATGTTATCATATAACTAAAACGACAACAACTCTTCCTATATTAATAACTTTATCTCTATTGTTAACAACTTTTATAATATATATTAACAATTATGTTTATTATGTTGCTTAGAGTTAGAAATGTAATTTCACAAAAAATAATTCCTGCATTTTGTGGTGCTTATTTATAATTTTCCTATTTTAATGTGATTTATTTGTCATTCTCTCTAAAATAATATTTAGGCACAATTTTTGCGAGAATCACACCTAAGTTTCAAGAATAATAAAAAAAAAAGTCACATTAAGGTCTGATATATTTTAAATTATTTTTTCCGGCCTTTGAAATTATGTTTTTTCTTTTTCTTGAAAAAATGCATTTATCTTTAATCACATGGACTATGTATAATAAATAAATATATTATATTATTTATATATGAACTTTAGCATATTTTTTACAAATAATATGTTATACATAAACTTAAGAAACTTGTGCATTTAGAGCAAATACATCTTTTCAAGAAGAAATATATTTACATTTGAGGCTGTAAAAATAATTCAAAATGTATTGGTCATGCTACTTTTTTTTTTTATTATAAGGACCTTCGGTGAGATTTTCCTTTTTTTTTTTTCAAAAATGGGAAAAGAAAGAAATTAATTTGTTGGAAGTTTAGTCTTTTCTTTAAAATTCGTTAATAAAAGAAGAATATTAGCTTTTGAATCTGCCTGGCATTTATTATATATTAACTTGACATGGGTATGCTTCATCTTTGCTATAATTCACCATGAAAATGATGAATACAGGTTCTCTCAATCTCAAGCTTGTTCGTCCGGTTTTTATCATCCTTTTCGCTTCACTACACTTCATTCTAGTTCCGGGGAATAATAATGTTGCCGCTGTCAAGTGCAAAGCAAAGGAGAGAGAAGCATTGCTTGCTCTCAAGAATGATTCTGTGGATCTCCATGGCATCCTCTCTTCTTGGAGTAGTGCGTTAAATCACTCAGAATGCTGCAAATGGAAAGGTATCCAATGCAACAATGAAACAGGTCATGTGGAAAAGCTTGATATTCATGGTTTCCAACAACAATAATGGTTCTTTACAATTTCGAGGTAATAATAATCTCAGTCCTTCACTCACCCTTTTACCTTATCTGAATTATTTGGACATCAGCAACATAAATTTTTTTCCTCATCCACATTCCTAAATCCATTTTTTCTTTATACCACCTGACACACCTCAATCTCTCTAAATGCTATTTTGGAGGGAAATTCCTTAGCGAGTTTGGAAATCTTTCTAATTTGGAATATCTTGATCTTAAATTTAACTTGCTTGACGGAAAAATCCCAACTCAGTTATCAAACCTAACCCGTTTGAGATATCTTGACCTTACTCACAACGATTTCTCTGGAACTATACCTGATCAATTTGGCAACCTTTCATCCCTAGAGTTCATATCCATTGGTCCTTTATTTTATGAATTGGAATCTGATCTGTATTGGGTATCTTCCATTTCTTCATCCTTGAGATATCTCAGCATGGAGCAAGTTGATCTCAGCAGTGCAAGTGATTGGCCAATACTAATTGCTAATCTTCCTCAACTCAGGGAACTGCGTTTAAGAAGTTGTAGTCTTCCCAACGTTACCAGTACATCTCTATCCATGTCTTTTACGAATTTTTCTGATTCTCTTACCATCATTGATCTTTATGACAACCAACAAAATTCCTCAGTATATCAATGGTTGATGAGTTTTCATAGCAGCGTCACTGTTCTTAAACTCATTGATAACTATTTGGATGGTCCTATACCTGAAGCCATTGCAAATTTGAGCTCCCTCCAAGAGTTATGGCTTGGAGACAACAAGCATGTGGATGGGATTCCCATGGCATTGTGGGATTTATGCAGTTTGAGAGTAGTCCATTTGAATGACAATAGCCTGACTGGTTTGATTGAAGAGTTTGTGCCCACAATTTCTAATTGTGCAAAAGACTCGCTCAAGGTACTGGATGTGAGTGAGAATTCTGAAATTGCAGGGACTTTACCAAATCTTTCTCACCTTTCATCTCTGCAAGTTTTGATTTTTGATGGCAATCAGGTTAATGGAACATTACTGAAAGCATTGGACAGCTGTCAAACCTGGAGGTTTTAAGTGCTTATGAGAACAACTTAGAAGGCCTCCTCACTGAAGCTCATTTCTCTAAACTCTCTAAATTGACTGATTTGGACCTGACTTCTAATGCACTCACTTTTAATGTAAGTTCTGATTGGGTCCCACCATTTCAGTTGGAGTCTATACGTTTACCAGCTATTAAACTGGGTCCTCGCTTTCCAAGTTGGCTCAGATCTCAGCAGGAAAGGTGTGTTTGGTTGGACATCTCAAGTGCTGGAATTGAAGGCATTGTTCCACTCTGGTTTTGGAACTTCTCTTTATCATTGAATTACTTGAATGTTTCTCACAATCAGTTAGTCGGTGAAATTCCAGATTTGCCCGTGGAATTTAAAGATTACCCCCAGATTGACTTGAGCTCAAATCAGTTCCATGGCAAAGTACCATCCTTTTTCTCATCATCAAGGGCCTTATATCTATCTAACAACCACTCACCGAATTAACTTCCCTTTTGTGCAAAAGGAAGGAAAGACAAGTTTTGTTTCTCTTGGATCTATCCACCAATCAATTATCTGAGCTGCCTGATTGCTGGAGTAATTTTCCGTCACTGTCATTTATTAATTTTGCAGGAAATAATTTCTCTGGAACCATCCCCACATCATTCGGTCGCTTGGAACAAATTCAGTCATTACATTTGCGCAACAATAAGTTCATTGGAGAGTTGCCTTTGGAACTAAGTAACTGCAAAGAGTTGAGGATTTTGGATGTGGCTCATAACAATTTAAAAGGGCCAATACCCTTGTGGATTGGAGACAAACTTGGATAGTTGATGGCCCTCATTTTGAAGTCCAATGGATTCTATGGAACCATGCCATCAAACATATGTTGGCTTTCTCATATTCAAATTTTAGACCTTTCTTTGAATAATATTTCTGGAAATATACCACCATGTGTCAACCATCTCACCGCCTGGTGGCTTCTTTGTCCACATCGCCAGAAACATCGACGTCAATTAGATACTATTTTAATGGTGCTCAAAGTGCTACTTCTACACATGTTGATGGTGCTTTGGTGACATGGAAAGGAAGTGACAGGGAGTACAATAATACGTTGGGTTTGTTGAAGTTTATTGATTTATCCAGCAATCAGTTGGTTGGCCAAATCCCAAGTGAGATTATACATCTTGTTGGATTGTATTCCTTAAACGTTTCAAGAAACATGTTGACTGGGAAGATCCCTTCTGGTATTGGACAAATGAAATCATTGGAAGCTCTTGATCTATCCAGAAACTTCTTGTCTGGTGGTATTCCAATAAGTCTTTCAGAAATAAGTTTTCTTGGTGTGCTAGATTTGTCCTTTAATGATTTATCTGGAAAAATCCCAACAGGGACCCAGATTCAAACTTTTGATGCCACTTCCTTCATGGGAAACTCAGAACTTTGTGGAAAACCTCTTCCAAAAAATTGTCCTGAAGAGCACACGAATAATGATGGTCACATTTATGGTAATGACAAGGATGATGATGGTGAATTTCCTGATGGAGGGTTTTATATTAGTATGTCACTCGGTTTTATCGTTGGACTTTGGGGACTGTGGGGCACCTTACTATTGAAGAGGTCTTGGAGGGTTGCTTATTTCAGCTTCTTGAGCAATAAACAACGATGGCTCTATGAATTCGCCGCAACAAGAAAGGAAAACCTTCAAAAGAGGCTCAAACATTTTAAGGTAATTCTTATTTCTCAATAAGTTCACGTAGTCCTCATAAGATCTAAATTATGTGGAATGGTGGTTGAAAGATGAAACTCTTTTTTTGTTTTTTAGGCCATAAAGGGCATTCATAATTTTTTTGTAGGGATAACAAGATTTTTAGTCTTTTTAGTTTATATCAATTATTAACTTAGTCTCTTAAATTTAATTTTTATTGATTTATACCTTTAAATTTATCTTAGTTATCGATTTTGTTTCTTAAGTTTGTCTTATTTATCAATTTGGTCCTTATTATTTAAATAGGAGATAACACTATTAAAATCTGCTGACAAAGATAACAAAATATTAATTACATCCATATAAATTAATGAAAAGAAGTGTAATTATTTAGATAAAAAAAGAGGACTCAGAAATTTAAAACAACAAAAAACCAAAGAACAAAACAACAACTAGATTAATAAAGTTATATTGATTCGGAGGCTAATTTTTTCTTATTTAACTACCGATACAAGCCAAATCATCAAAATGCTTTACACATCAGCTTAACTTGAGAGTAAATTTTTGTTTTAAAACTTAACGGACTAACATGATAATTTAATAAACCAAACTGACAAAAAATAAATTTGAAAGACCAAATCAAAAACTGAAGCAAACTTGGGGGACTAAAGTTTTATTATTCTCTTTTGTATTTCTCTACTATTTCTTCAATGTTACTACTATATCCATAACATAACAGTCTCGGTGAGAGGTCCATTTTTCAAGAACAAAGTCAATCAACTTCAATTGACTTTGCTTAATTTAGTTTTAGGTATGAGTTTATCAAGTTTGATTGAAAAATGGTTTTTGTGATTTCTACGTTGTGTTTTTCCCCCCTTTTAAATTTACAGGGTTAAATGTCTCATGAGAAAAGAATGCTGTACACAGGAGATTCTTCTTTTCACAGTTTCCATTCCCAAACAAACCAAACATCCTGATGAGAACAAATATCACAACGATGGTCAGTGCAGTGACGAAACTGGCCATTCAGCAAAGTACTGCTATCAAATCCCATTGAATGCCTCAGATCCCTCTTCATTCACACTTTACCCATGGTTCATGGATGACTCAGGGGACAAAGCAACTGAAGAATATTTAAATGAATCTCTCAAGTCTCCTTCTGGGGGATTAGGAAATGGTTCAGGTTTGCCATTCACTTATTTCTACTCATGTCTTTTTTTTTTTCCCCGCTTGCATCCGAAGTTGAGGTTTGTTTATCAAAATTTTCTTGCTTTGTCTTTTTGAATGGTGATTAATACTACTGCAAGATCAGGAGATGAAGATAATCATATTCTATGCCCAGTTTATACCTTTTAGTCTTCCCAGAATCATCTAGTAAATAATCTTTTTACTGTTTGTACCTATGTGGATTCTTGTTGCTAACAATTTTCCTCTCAAGAATTAACTGTTGTTTTGGGCACACACACACACACACACATATATATATCTCCTAAATTTAAAGCCAATATTAGAATTCCCATTTACTGTTTTGCTTGCATCATGAACGTAACACGTGGATGAGAAAGCATGCTTTTATCAAAGCACCTCTGTTGTTTTGAATTGGACAAATATGGTATACTGAGTAACTGAGCTGAACCTACCTCGCTTCAATTGAAGGATTTAATGGGGTCTAGATCAATCTAGATTGATGGACCTCTAATAGGCCACAACACACAAGGAAATTATGCATGAAATAAATATATTAAAACAAAATTGTTTTAAAGAATTAAATGACAAATCTATTTCAAATTTTTTTTTCAGGTATATGTAGTATTCTTAATTTTTTATTAGAGTAATGTCACCCTTCAATATTAAAAAAGAGTACGATATCTTCCTACCATAACCCACACCAACATTGCCTATTAAAAAAGTTGCTTTGAACAACACACACTGGTGTGGCAAGTTAGATAAGCTAAGTTGGACTCACACAAGGAAAAAAATCTCGTTGATCGTCTCTCTATCACCACTCTCCTCAAACTCCTGGCTGGTTCTTTACCCCCCCCCCCCACCCTCCTATTTCATCGTTCCCTCAATGTTACCTAAACCCCAGGCTCAGTCTCCGTCAATGGTGTCAATGTAACTTTTCAGTTATGTCTCCACCTGGGGGAAGACCTAGATACTTGTCTTTGTACTCCTCAGCGGAAGTAGATTCATGAAAGAGCCATTACATGCTCAAGTGAGACCTCAACTTCAGCCGGTATCCCCCTGTGTCCATCTCCATTATCTTTGAAGTCAGACTCCTATCGGTACTATTAGTGGTAAGAGATTTGAATAAATGATTAGTTTTTATTCTGGAAGTTGGGATCTCTTACAGTTGATCTTCGTGCTTGAGTTCCAAATTTTTCCTCATAAAATACAACAAGATATCCCACTTTAGCCACCCACAACGCAAGTTCATGTTTGACTACTCTGAATTCCCCATTCAAATGTGACAGTTGCAAGGAATTCAGCACACAAGATTGCGATACAAGTGCTCGATTTGCGATTGCAATCTTCACGCCCATTGCACGATCCCTTTGCCTTTGATATCCTACCCCTTTTGCACATAATGCTTGTTCAAATTCCTAATTTGGTCGCCGGTGGAGATGGCACTTTCCAATTCCCTAACCTCCCTTGCCTTATTCAAATTCAAACTAGAAATTTTTTAATAATTTTGTAGAACTTGAAATTTTTGTTTGTTTGTCTCTTTGATTTGATGAGGTTTACCAAGTACCCCTGCATATTGTTTGAATCTTGATGGTGACCTATTTCTCATGTCCATAGCCGACCATAGTAGTTTTGCCATGATTGGTTAGCCTCATTATCACCACTACAGCCTGGGCAACCATGACAAGGGAAAATGGGCGGGCTCGGCCCTTATGGGCCCAACCCCTGAGGGCTTGAGTTCTTAAGCCTAGTTTTTTTATTTTTTACCTCTTTTTTGAAGCCTGGCTCTTATTTGAAGAGTTCAGAGTCGGGCCCGTAAGCTCTGTTATAAATTTTTGTAAAAAAATTAAAATAAAATTAAGTACTATAAATTAATTAAAATATTTTAAAATTAAAAAAATAAAAATTCTCATAATCTTTTAAAAATTAAACAACACACATTTAGAAGTCTAGTAAGAAAATTCAAATCTTGGATAAAAAAATAATTCATTTTTTATAAATACACAAACATAATAATTATAAAAAAATAACAACTATTAGAAATTTTATACTTTGCACTAATATTTATTAAATTATATTAAATCAATTTTAGAATAAATTAAAATTAATAATAATATAACGTGTGTAGGATCAGGGCTTTAGGTGAACAGGTCCTTATTAGCTTCAAACGCGTGTTCCATCAAAGAAAAAATAATTAATAATAATATAACAGGGCTTGAAGGGTAGCTCGAGCTCGAGTCCTTTTTCATAGGGCTTATCAAGGCCAGGCCCTCAAGCTCGGTTACTTTAAAAATTTTAAGTTTAAAACCTGAACCCTTATTTAACTAAGACCTCTAAGCCTGTCCTTTTAGACCTGGCTCTTATTCTTGACTTTAATGACAACTATGTTGGCAAGTGAAAGGTGGAGTGGTTTTTCTGTGCCTTGTGGAACAATAGCGATAAGTAAAAAAATAAATAAATAAATAATTAAATAATCCACTTGAATCCCATCTTTTGTTTTACTCAGCAAATACAACTTGACATATGTAATTTCAATGATATGTGTATGGGCTAATAGTGTGATGACATTGTACTCTTTTTAAAAGTTAGAAGGCTATATTGCTGGAATAAAAAGTTTAAGATATTAGGCATACTTAGTGAAAAAGCTTCAAAACAAATTTGTCTTTTAAACCCTTTTTTTCAAATGAAGATTGCTTTCAAGTTTTTTAATGTGTCAAATCAAAATAGGACTTGTTGGCATTTGAATCTTCAAATTTTAAATCTAAACTCTACAAGACTATTACTCAAGCTAAAGTCGATGTGCAACATGCCTACGTGGGAGTGAAAAGTCCAAAATAACCAACTTTTTTAGTTTTGGTTTTTATCTATTGGCCCATATTTTTCCCCCTTTAATTGATAATATTTTAATTTTTCTAAAATCAAGCATATGAGGATGATTTAGTAATGAAGTTATCTTTTATGTATGGACAAGTGTGAAGATAAGGGGACTAAAGGTGGCAATGACCTTTTAACTTTTCAATTTTTTAATAAAATATAAGAATTATATATTTTCAGCCATTATAGAGGCTGAGAAACACTAGATGGTTATCTCATTTCAAATCCATATAAATATTTTATAATTGTTTTTATGCAACCAATTTAGAACTCTCACATAATCTACTTATTCTCAACATGGTGATTCTATATATGCTCTTAAAACATTGATATCATTTGATTTACTTTCATTTTATATTTGATGAAAGAAATTATGGGAATTACTAACAAACTTTGTCAAGCCTTATCACAACAAAAATCTCAAGATATCTTGTGTAAAGTCCCAGCTCATATCGGGCTTTAACATTCCCATCATACAATCAACCAATTCAAAAATAATAATATCAAAGTAATACACTAGTACAAAATATAATTTTAACCACAACCTTTTCTCTAAAGTTACAGGTTTAACTGTCGTTATAATAAATTCAGTGGCAAGACCAGTAATTCCAAGTAAAAATTGTGACCTTATAATGACAAGGCTTTAATAAAACTATCATTGTTAATGTTTTCAGCTAATTAAAAAGTATTAAATAAAATTTAGAGATACACTAAAAATATTAATTATTTTAATGTTTACAATTAATTAATAAAATCTTGAAATTAATATATATATATATATATATATCGACAGTCATTATCTTACCTGTCGTTAATTAAATGTCTAGTTCATATACCATTAATATTAATAACAAAACTAATAAATAATATTAATATAAATAATGTATGTAATAAAAAATATTATAATACTAATAATTCCAGGACATGCCCATTCAAGGCCTATCATCAGAAATTTATATGTCCATTTAACAACATCATTCCACAGACCTGTCATTAATATACCATTAATATATTTAATTTAATATAAATATTAATAGATAATGTAATATTCAAAGTCATGATATGAATATTAATAAATGTTAACATAGAAAATAAATAATGATAATTTTATTATTAATATTATTTAATGTTATTGTAAAGAAAATAAAGATTAATAAATAATAGATTACCAATAGTTTTAATAATGAAAAGCTATGGTGTTATTAAATTTACTTCTTTTAGCCTTCAGCTTGCGAAAAAGATCAATTAATATCTTGAAACACATATTACGATAGGTTTAATGGAAACCTGTCGTTATATGTGCTCTTAATCTGTCTTCGTTTTCTTTTAGCTGAAGAAAAAAAAAATAATTAATATATCTATCTTAATTAACGACAGTACATTTAATAACTGTCGTTATTATTCATAATATTATTAATACATATATTATTAATTAATATTTTAATTTTAATTATATCGTACAACTAAACTATTAATTTGAATTATTAAATGATAATTATGGACATATTTATATCTATATAAATTTAATATGAATATAAATATTTATAAATAACATTTTTATTTATATTAATATAAATAATATTAATAGTTATATATTATTAGTATTATAAATGATATCATTAGATATATTATACTAATTAATTAAAATTTTATTAATGTAATTTATAGAAGCTATTAACGACAAGTTTATTAAAAGCTGTCGTTAATATAATTAATAATAATTATATTTAATATAAATAATATTTCTTTAATTTTAGTATATTTATTTAAATTTAATATTAATATTATGCATATTAGCGACAGGTATACTGAGACCTGTCGTTAATGTGTTCAGTTTTCCTTCACTAAATAGTATTTATATCTATATAAATTTAATATTAATATAAATATTTATAAATAAAATTTTTATTTATATTAATAGTTATATATTATTAGTATTATAAATAGTATCATTAGATGTATTATACTAATTAATTAATATTTTATACTTATAGAATATATTAACGACAGGTTGATTGAAAGCTGTCGTTAATATAATTAATAATAACAATATTTAATATAAATAATATTTTTTTGTTAATGTTAGTATATTTATTTAAATTTAATAATAATATTATGTACATT